TGTGTGTGTGTGTTTGTGATGTGACAAAATATGTATATAGAATAAAATTATTGATCTGAAGAAAACGACAATAGTATGTAGTAAAATTTGAGGTGCACTCCTATGTCGGGTGTACACAGTTCAGTGACCACGGTGAGGTTTGTGCTGGGAGAATGCTTGTGCTCAGAGAATATCGTTTGATCTGGGCGGCAATAGTACAATCAATCCGGCTGATATCGAAACAAAAATGCTTACTCACCTTTTTCAGTGTATTAAAGCCGAGCGCGTGCCCCTCTATTTTAGCCATGGCACCTTTTTTGGCGTATCTCCTATTACCGTCCATGATAAACGCCATGTGATGCGGAATCGGCCCATTCTTCAGTACCGATACAACAATCCGGTTTGCAATGCGTTCAACATTATCCATAACAGACTCTGGCAATACAGTTGACCGTAAGTACTGCTCTATAGAGCGCAGCATACTGTATAATGCTCAAGTAACAGAGCAGATATGTGTCTGATGGAATTAATGTTATGTAGCTACAATATATTTATCTACCCAACAAAGCAAAAAAAATGTAAATACATACAACTTTTCTCGCACACGAGCGCGAAATCTATCTAAGAAAAAACATAGAAGAATATTTCAAAAATATTTACTCATGTACGGATATATAAAGTCGAACACCTGTGTCAATCTTAGCAACCACAACATAACGGCTGGGCACCTCAGTACGTAGCGGTATTGAGGATTAAGTTGCGCTTGAAAAAATTTCTCATTGACGAGGTGAATCGCTACATCACAAAGCGATTTCTACGCAATAAAAAGCACATGTTATGCAAGTATACTTATTTGCGGACCATTTGCTGGCCGTATCCGAACGTTGTACACTTGATCTAGATCTCAACTGAACGCTGTACGGGTGAAATTGAAACACACAGCTCCAAGAAATATACATTGTCATCAATTGTGTATACCTGCTCACGGTATTGCCTTCTTGTTTAAAAATAAGATTTTATTGGAGATTACAACTTAGTAAGGCACAAATAGTCAAATATATGCAAAGTTCTCAATAATGAATGTCACCGCGGCAGCGGCTAAACATAACAAACCAGATACGTATCCGGTAGCAATTTCATGTGACGATGGCTACTAATTCTGTGATAATATCACGCGATAGCCTTGGTCTTTTGCGCCGAATTAGGTGTTTTCAAATAGTCCCGGTGAATATATCAGCGGCCAATGCGGATCAAGGTTCTGGTGTATAATAGTTAACAGACGACTGAAATTTCACATTTGTTTAGCTCGTTTTATAATATATTGAATACGAGATGATTCTTCTATCATAGTTCAAGGCGCGACGTATGCAATTGGGAATCTGCGTCGGTGACTGTTCGCAGCTATAAGGTTCTTCGCACTATGTATATTTGATACGATATAATCATTAGCCAGATCTAAAAAATTAAACACATCGCAAAACTGTTGACACCGATCATTGCTTGATCCACCGACTAAAGTGGCCGTAGAATCATCCACGCAGCCAATATTGGTGCATTTTTAATTAATAGAAGTTTTAATATCTGAAGTTAATTTCACAACTTCATAGTAGTCATGTCTTGTCCCTGATAACGCCTCAGCGGGTCGAATAAATCGGATACAAACAGTTCAGTACCTTCAATCCCGCATGTGAAGAGGAGGTTTGTAATCGTTGTTATTTTTTTTGCTGTGTAGTGCGGGTGCACAAGGGAGATAGACGCGCCGCCATTACCATTTCCACAATTTCGCTAAGACAGGCTGCCCATGAACGCGGCTACACTTGTTCGGGGGAAGCAACCAAATATATTGATCTTTGGATAGTTACACTCTGTACAGGCTCATAGCTAGGGTGGATATTGCTTTGCATGATTTCGCACTAACTACAACGCTCTGATATCTACCCAAGAATGCAATCGCTATCGGCGTCATCGGTTTCCGAACCCGGACATTTATATTTCAATTAAATGTCGAACTCCATGGTTTTATATTTAATCATGTTGTCTCCAGCGTCGAACTGCTCGGCCATTCCTTCAAGTTGAAATAGTGAAGCTGGCATGATAGCGACTACCGATGCCCCAAGGACAAGAACTAGTTGACAACTTCCTATTGACGATTATATCGTGTTTGTTTATGGAATTTGAAAACTGTTTGATATAACATAATATATGGTTGCAACGAATATGTATATATATATATATCCATTCGCGAGTCTGTGCCAATGTCGAGGCATGCGCATATACCCAGATCAAATTGTATTTGCATATGCCCTTTGCGTGCTTTTGTTTGCGTTTACATATATGCACAGAGCAATTTCCAAGATCACGCTCGATTTATAGGACGCTATAACTTTTTTAATCACACGAGCAAGTGTGAATCATTATGATGCATTCAATGCATACCCCTGCACTTTTATATTTTATAGGAAATTTCTGAACATAATATACGCTTATATATACAACTTTATGTGTGCACGAAGGCTATGGTGCATTCCATGCATACCCCTGCACTTTATTTCTGAACATACATACGTTTATATTAGATCTTTGTGTGCACGAATGTATTTATTACGATATATTTCAGAACTCGTGTTTACGTATGCGTGTATCGTTTGTTCTTTTCACGTTAATTTCCTTCAAACTATGGAATATCACAAAGAAATTCGTGTACAATATCCCGATATGTATACTCATGTACTTGAATCCAGATATGAGTGTTGTTTTGAGCATGTGCATTCAAATCCCATTCGACTGTAAATATTCTTACACACGGAACGGAGTGATATATTTCCTAATGAGATACTGGCAGTAGAAGTAGAGCGATTAATTGGTACGAGATGTACCCGTCCATACTGTGCGGAATATATAAGAGTCTTCTACAATAGAGTTGACACAGACTAACTCCAAGCTGCATCAGAAATGGTAGACGATCAGTTAGCATACTCCATTAAAGCATGCAAGTTCGACACTCAGCGTGCATAAGACGCTCATAAGAACGCTATATGTCAAGCGACCTCCATTCATCGGATTCGTGTAAACAATGTGCCACATGAATATTTACTACTTGAAAACTCTCCATACCTTCGGTATCCCTTTTCGACCAAATCAAGCTTGTTCCTTGCGGAATCACGCCAGTGTTTTCTTCTTACGACTGGTAGCAGCCTCAGCTAATTCATTAACCACTTACGAAGCCTGTATTAACATCCAAAAGTGACCGACATGTTAGAACATATAAAAAACCTACGGAATTAGATAAAGACAACAGTTGTATTGTATGCTAAACGCGTCAGAACTTCTTAGAGATAAACAGGTCATGAACACGGATTCGTCGTAGACAAATACCGCTCCGGTTTAGTTGTGTTATCCTCATTCGCGTACAATGGCAAGCACAATGTTGAACAGACAAATGACTCAAAGCGTAGATACGGCGCATGCTAGACGCATAGTTTGAGATAAACACTTACACATCTTACTTACCTTAGATTGCTTGCGTTATGCTAACATGTTCGCGTGAACATCCGGTGCTATACTTTCAAGTTTCAGTCACTCCAGTGTCACTGTCCACAGCCGAGTGAAGCCCACATGTGTGAGACAAACAGTTGTGTGTGCTATTTTTAAAAATAATTTGTTTTCAAAGGATATTCTCTCTCTCTCTTTTTTAAACTTTTTCTCGCTACTCTCTGAGAGAAGTGGCCGTGGCTGTAAAATTAATATTTATGTATTTTACCTTTTAGTTTTAGTTAAAAAAAAAATTATGTAATTTTTTTTTACAGTGTTGTATGTATGACTATGTAAATTCAGAGTATTTACGGATGACAGTATGACAAAAAAAACAAACAAAACAAACCAAATCGAAAAAAAAAAAGATTTGGCGCTTGAAGACTGATGAGTTGGCGAGTTGGCGAGTTGGCGAGTTGGCGAGTTGGCGAGTTGGCGAGTTGGCGAGTTGGCGAGTTGGCGAGTTGGCGAGTTGGCGAGTTGGCGAGTTGGCGAGTTGGCGAGTTGGCGAGTTGGCGAGTTGGCGAGTTGGCGAGTTGGCGAGTTGGCGAGTTGGCGGGTTTGAGGAATGTCTTTATACGGCACTTACGATAATAAAATTATTAACCACCTCAGGCCCAGTTTCCTATCAGTCTCATACATACTTTTTCGAGTTTAATTTGCTTTAATATAGGCGTATTATGCAATTAGCGTGATTTTAAGCACTTGTGAGATGTGTTTGTTTTCTGCCGGTTTGTTTGTTATCTGCCGGCTGAAAGCGCTCGATTTAAATGTTAGATATTGTAGCGCGGATACAAACCATTTGTTGCACTTATGTTAGGTCCTTGTCGGTCTTAAGGGCTTGACATATGTTAGCAGTTAAACACATGTATATAGGCGTCCTCTGTCTTAGCTATTGCTTCGGATTCGCCCATGGTTTTACAGTTGACACTATTCGTGTCTAACATACGTTGACCTCTCCTCTGAGGCCGACAAAGAACTAATACAACAAGTGCAAAAAATGGGCTAAAATCACGCGAATTACATTTTAAAAGCAAAGTAAACTCAATAAAGTATAAGTATGAGACTGGCAGGAAACTGGGCCTGAGGTGATTAATAATTTTATTGTCACCAGTGCCGTATAAAGACATTCCCTGCGGCCTGCTCTGGCTCAGGCTGCTGCTGTCCTGCTGAAACAAAAAGTCTGATGCGTGTCAAGGGACATCAACTGTCAAGTGTCAAGGGTATTAAAATTGACAGCATCTATGTGTAAATACATATTTTCATGCATCATGTATGAATAATAATACAAGTCCCAACACCCTCTGACGGCTAGTTGGGATAGTTTTACTGTTTTTGCACAAATGCTTTTATGTGTATTGATATCAAGAGCCTGTAAGTAGTGTGCGGCCGTAGATTACAAGTCGTGACAGTCGAGCAATCTCATCTCATCTCGTCATCGCCATGATGAGAATAGTATCACGGTGTGTGACTTAGAAACTACTAAATAACGCATATTCCTCGATAGTGCATCGCGCGCCAAGAAGATTTCTACTTCCAGGCTATATGTATGGTGTATGCTCTGGTTTCTATGCCCCGACCAAGAGACCTAAGACAGCCCCGACAGTCAGATATGCCCACTACCTATCACACTGCGATTAATAGATCAGAGCGCTATGCATAGATCACTATCGTCGAGCAGTCTGAGTGCTGTAGGCATGAAGACAACACAGCACGAAGCAATAGTCTGGCAGGAAAGCTCTGGCATATCATCAAACACGAATCCACGACAACGGGGACAGTTTGGTGGATGTGTAGCAGTAGCACAGCCGCATATAAAGAATGATAGACTGTGCCGAGAAGACCAAGTTATAAAAGATATGCGAGACACCTTGTCGGTTCATTTTCTAGGAGGGTGTGATAGCAGGGCTTCAGAGGATAAAACTACAAAGTATACTACACTATATTCTAATGAAGAGCACGCAGTCAAAGGCGTATTTAAAGGCGAAATGGTAAATCTGACACACACACACTCCTATATAGACACTGAGAGAGAGGTGCCAGACTTTGTATGTCTGGGTATGAAGCAACTAGCAAAGGACTCTAAAGTGGACACGATGCTCTCCGATGCAAACCTGTCCGAGTTGTTTGCCCTTGCACACCCACATCACGTGTCTGAACTGAAGCACAATGTGGCCATTCTTCGGCACGTGAAAGGGCTCTTGGTTGCCAATGGAACGAAGAGCAAGAACAAGCGCACACCATCGCCCACGCACAATGACATCCTCTCCAACCGCACTATTGATGGTCTGAATCTCCACAACATCACCGCCCACATAAATATCATGACTTCAAAAGTACACGATAGTTCAACAACACCGAATAACATGCGATTAGTTATTATGGATGTCGGCTGCGGCAGTGGCATGTTGTGTGGAATGTTGTCGCACATGTACCCCAAGGCCCAGATTGTAGGCATTGATAGGGACACGGAGAAGATCGCCGCAAGTGCTGCTGCGAGTGGTGGTGAAAGCTATCCCGGCTTTATCCAGAAGGATCTAATGGAACTCTTGTGCGATGAAGACATAGACGAGTGGCTCTGTGAAACACTTGAGCGACAGGGCGTTCACGTGTGCTGTTGTATAGGACGTTGTGCTGAAGGGTGTACACGACAGTGTGCAAGTATGGGCGACGGTGCAGTGAGGAGGACATGTGCACGCGAGACTGCTTGCGTATGTACGCAGGTGTCAGAATACAGGGAAACACAAGACACCCAAATATGCACGCCATACTATAGTTTGCAAATTGGTACGCGTTCCAAGATTATGAGTGGCTTCGAGGAGAACGGGAGTTGTGACGGTTCAACAGAAGTCCCGCGCAGAGCCGGCGATGAAGTACGCACGAGCACACACAGGTGTAAGACTAGCTATTGTATATGTGGGAATCAGGGCACATATTGCTCCACGGGAGGAGCAAGTGCACAGGGGTGTATTGAAGATGTTCAGGTGCTCATGCTCGGGTCAAATTTGTGTGGGGAGTTGGCATCGCAGACCATCAGAGTTTACCACAGACTGCGCGTTATTTTACGCAAAGGGCAATGGCACGGCTGTGCTTGCGAGAGCAGTAAACGTAGTCAACGATGTAAACAATGTAATAAGGATACTATGCGCTCCAATCTTACTGCAGGCTTCTTCATGCAACCGTGCTGCGCATCCAAGCAGAGCATTCCAAATTCGGTTGCGGCTTCTGATCAGCTACACCCCGACAATCGGCACCATGCACGAGTGTCGCCGAGAAAACCTAGTCTGGACTCTGCGAACGCATCAGCAAGCACCCCCTCACACAGACACACGACGGCACATACAGCAACAACTCATTTGCACTCCGTGGCAGCTACAGGCGTCAGGCCAACTCAAACTAAGCTTGATGTAGGCGTCACTCCTACTAAGACTGATGACATGCGTACAGCAAGTCCTAGATCGAGCACTTCGGACTATAGTAGGTTCGCTACAAGAACAAAGCCTCCGGTGAGCCTGGCAGAACGCCATGCCTCACATCATGCGTACTGCACACAGCTGTTTCAGGCATTGCAGAACGGAGCATATAGAGAAGCCCAAACTGGTGCGACACACGAGGGTACAATCCAAGAAGATAGCGCCATAATGGCCACGTGTGCATCTAATAGTCACCACAGTGGAGGTGTAGGTCACAACCACCCGTCAAAAGAGACTGCCTCGGAAGCGATCGATAATGTGCACAGCAACGACGTGGAGCAGACGGCCCAGTTATCGGTGGATCTGTCACTAGGGGCACAGCCTTATGTATACTATTTGGTCGCCACGGGGTAAATCTGTTTAAGTATAGAGCAGTATGACAAACGTCGTAGCTCCCTTGACACCTTTGAGGTGTGAGAGTGGGATTGAGTTACTACCTTCTATTTCGAAGGTCATCTGAGCAGATACATGTCGTATCTATTGATGTGGCGAGCTTGTAATAAGATATGTCACAACCTACAACATGCCTAGTCAATGCGGGCTCTGCAGTGAGACGTATGTAATAGATCTTAAAATATGTCGTATAGGCTGATTTTTGTGAGTAATATGTCACGCGTCCCTACTCGATCTGGGTGTCCTAGACTAACATTCTTATACATGTGCCGCCATTACTATGCCTGGTTGTAAGCTAAATGGGATATTCGATGCGCTACAGATTCGGCAAACATGTATCTGCATGCAAATAGAACTTAGAACCAAAAGTGACAATTATATGATACCGAATATAAATCCTGAGACGCTGCTTGAGAGTCACACGGAGAATTCCAATCTCTACCTTAATCTTAAAACCCCGAGGTGTGGGTAGAGGACTCGCCAATTTTCAATATACAAAGCATAGTATCCGTTAAGCGTAAAGTAGTATTGCGACTGCTCTCATGACTCCGTGAGTAGTACCGTTTGTTGAGCCAGATTGACTTCGAGCGGTGCCCAAAAGCATTCAATCAAAATAGACCCTAAAATCCATATTTTAAAAGTAAATACGTATAAGGCTATGCCATAGCCGTCTAAAAAAACGCATGGGCTATGTTCATCAGTCGTCACTCATATAGGTCTATAGTCCTATGGTCCACTAAAGATTCAGACAAACACTGTATTGGATCTATATATTTGAAATATCAATTCATAATTATAATTACAATACATTGTAAAGTACACAGGTCAACGCAGGGGTTTCTGGCATTGATCGTTCTGAGAACCTTGCCTCCTCAAGAGCAGTGTGACTTCCAGTATACCATTTCCTTGAAGGATGCGAAACATGGTGCTGAAAGTCGCAACATAACTATGTGTCAACTTGTTAAATCCAATTTATTGGTGCGATTTTACTGAGTCGGTTTTGTACTCATCATACTCCCTGCCACCTGCGCTAAACCTTAGTGGTACCAGAGGCGGACGGTTCGTTCTCATCGGAATCATCAGAATTAACAGGATGATCAAGCGACAACATCGAAACCACGCCTTCCTGCAAGTGATGCAAATTGGACAGTACATCAGTGATCGAATGTTGCCGATTCTAAAGAGCCATCTAAAACGATGGCCACGCCATCCAGAAAGCCGTTAACTTATCACAGAGTAATCGGTGGCAATTGACACGTGGGCGCATACTGACTAACAAGAGCTGATGGCACACAGTACATAATCAGTAGAGACATTGGCACTGCTCGGGGTAATGCTTTGCTCTCAAATTTGATCCACGCAGCAAAAAAAAAAAGGTATGCTGCAACTATGGATAGCTAGAGCTGAAGATAGAGCATCACTGAGGAATTAATTCTGTGTGCGCACATATTCAGACCTCAGACAGCTGTCCCATCCTTGGAGTAGCCGCCTTGTGCGAAGCTGTACGGGTCTTGAATAGGTCGTGTGACGTGCTCATGCCTTCCGCCCGGAACATTCTATCACTCCTTGTACTGTATTGAGAACCGTGACTAGCCCTCGCCTCCATCTCGTATGCGTCGATATCCGAGTACTCGTCTCTGGATATGGCTCGAGCGAAATCCATATTTTCCTATATATAACAGTTGACGAAGTCGAATATGAAACTAGCAAACGTAAAACACTAGACTCTGTGAGTGCAATAATATGTGGATGCATCGCTGACAAACGGTGGCAACAAGATGTAACGTTTTGCACAAGAACTGGTTCGCATAGTTCTGGAGTGGTCAGACGTCATTTCGGCATCGTATGCATTCGTAAAATTGCAAAACTCAAATCGCATATGAATATTCAGAGTGATCCTACGTGGTCGCATTCTACCAACAGCCTATTCACTGCAATATGGGGCGAAGTATCGGGTTGATCCAAAATGATAGATACAACGAACTCTGCCTACACGCCTGCCTTACCACGGACAACTCGCTCTCTAGCAGCTCGTCGGCCGTGTCTTGGTACTTTTCTTTCTTCTTAGCACGCTTTAAGTCAGTACGCACGTCTCGTCTCGTTCGCTCGATGGCCTTGTGGAAGAGAACAAACAGATGATGCAGATAGCTAAGTTTGAGCGTGAATATGAGACATCGAGAGTGGCTGTACGACGGCTGACAAGTATGCGCGAGTAAGCTGTTTTCATATGATTGTGGCAAGGGTCAGAGCGCTAAAGTATTTGTTTAAGTGGCAATCGATCATTGGCAGCCACCGTCTGGAGCTGTCCAGGGGTAGCGTCGTATGCATGTGTTGGCTAAACAGCTATTCCGCACTCACAAGTGCAAAATGCAGCTTTGCGTATGCAATCTGTTATTCCGCTAACTTCTTGAGCGGCTGTGATGTGACCAACTCACCCGTTGTATAGTCTGCACACATGTGTGCATATGAAATCACCGCTCTCGAAACAATATGACCCCTCCTTTGCCCATGGCTTCTTGCAACCAAGGCAGAGAACAGAAATTCCACACCAGGTATCTTGTATTCGTACAAACACACCTTCCGTCGCAGCCGCCTATTACCAGGACAAAACCTGTTTACTATGAAGTAGAACAGTACTAGCAGCAGCAGAGCTATAAGTCCAGATACAAAGTAGTACCTGCCGTAGAAAACAGGTGCAAAAAAAAAAGGCTACTGACACGTACTTGATTTGCTCATCCGGAGTAGAATTCGATGGAGGGGAAGGAATGCAACGACACCTCAGGAAAGAAAAGTCGATTCGAGTTTGCGTGTGCCGCAATCTAGACAACTTATATACAATCTCAGAAGGACCTCCAACGCTGATAGGCACACGCTAGGATCGGAAACCACACCACAACCCCACTCAAGACTAAAATTTGAACTGACTTGGTTATAAAATACTCTGCAGCTTACCAGGTATACTCGATGAACACCAAGGGGTTGGGAAAGACCACAGAAGCTGTAGCAGGGTTACTGGCCTGGAGAAAATGTATGTAAGGATAGTAAGAGATGGAATGTGTGTGTCGTGTAGAATATGTTTTCTATTCATATCCCTACGGCAATACTAATTCTTTACAACATACCTGTCGGACCAACCTACACAAGGTGCCCCTTACAGCCCCAGAGATTAGACACAATATGCACCAACTGGAACAGAGACGCACCTACACTTTCCACAAATTCATGCGTGCAATAATTACAAATCCGTGAATAATATACCACTTTGCAATCCCCGTGGCCATCGCAGAAACCGGTGTAGTCATTACACGGATACCCACCGCCGAAGTTTGGCACGCGTGTAAGCTGAGCGTCTTTTCCTGCGTTCACCAGGCACCCAGGGTCAATCAGTGCATTGAGCGCACAGTAACTCTCCGCTGTGATGCATGGGCCTGTGGTATTCTGATTTGTCCCGGTATTGGTGCTGTTGGCATTCACTATGTTCCCGCTGAATGTACAGCAGAGCTGGATATAGAATGGCCAGATAGAGTTCAGGGACTAGTGCAATAGATCTGTTGGGCTCGCAGTTGCGATGGTTGAATCATATACATCAAGCAGTACTAGTAGATAGTAATGATTGCTCGTCACAAGCTGTGAATGTTTCTTCTTGTTGAAGTGTAGAAGGCAATAGCTCTGTATCCGACCACCCTAACTACGATCACTGCAAATCCCTGTACTGATCTATGTAGAAAGTTGTAGGCAATCTCACAGCAGACATCGACACATACACTCTAACCCAACCCTACTCAGACACCCCGCCCTCTCCCCCCCCGGCCAGGGACAGAACTCACCTTACACCCGCCCACATCTTCTGGACAGTTGCACTGCGACGCATCGAGCAACAGACTGCACACTGTATCATCAGTCTCCTCCGGAATGATGGAAGCTTGGCTCTCGAGGGTGTTGGCACACACCCCAGTTTTGCACATCCACGCATCGGTCTGCATCTCCCCTGACCCGCAGGTGGTGGTATCTGGTAGCGTTTCTTGGTACGGACACTCGGTGTCTTCGCCCGTGCATACTGCCCGTTTCAAACACCCGGTCGCAGCCGTACACACCTGCGCAGATTCACACCATAAATGGGGTGTATAATTGTATGAATACCAAACTGAATGAATGCAATTATATGTATCCATTGCGACCGTCGAATGTCCACTTGACATTGTTACAAATGTCCGAAGTTTTCTGCTTGCAAAGAGAGCTGGAGCGGGGTTCGAGATTGTTATTCTAGTCAAAACCGAATGATTCATATGTAGACCGTGCACACACATCGTTATCGTGAAATCAAATATATATGGTACAATATTTGCACATCGACATAAACAGTTATAGCGCAACTCTCGTGCCGATAAGAAGACGTGAGAAACGCCAGGGAGTTACGACACAGTAGGAAAATAAAAAAGATGGTCAGTGTTACGTCTCTATGGACTCTCTTCGCAAGTATATATGACGTAGAAGCCTGCACATAAATCTGTGCCTGTGTATGGTCCGCTGCCTTCACGTTACACGCGTCGATTCGTGCGTGACACGGGGGTCTCATGTATCGCTACATCCACTGCTGACTCTTTGCACAAAAACAGATAGAAGAGCACTCTACACAATACGTACAATTCATCCAATCGAGGAACACCGTTCACCACTGTGCTGCTCAGAATGAGATACCAAAAACAGAGGATTGTAACCAAGGAGACGTAAATACACACAAGACACACAGCTAGTGTGAAGAGCTCCTGCAATCTACTATTGTATCTTGTTTGAATAACACTTCCGTGTGCTCTTGCACATACCAGCCCCTGAAGCTAACGTCTTCTCACGATACAAGCTTACTCTGCAGTTTATACTAACTGTATGTACAGCACCCAGTGCGTGCGTGATACCGGCGTACGGATCACGAACGTTGACTGTGCCATTTCAGACTAATCCATGACGTCCCAATTTGTACTAAATACCTGCAACAAGACTGGCAGTGCAGACGCTACTCAATACGCCAGCAACGCAAACGAATACTAAAAAATGAAGACCAAGTACTACTTACAGTGCCTGCCGGTTGGTATTGGCATGTAGCCGAGTCACAGCATGGAGCAATAGCGCACACAGCCCCGTCCTTTAGCTTACAGTCGCTGGTGCAGCAATTGCCTTCGCCAAACGCATCGCATTGTTCGTCGCCCTCCAATAGACCATTGCCGCAGTACTGTCCCGGATACGGCATAAAACATTGCTTTTCTACTTTAGCGGTCAGTACAGACCGTATGCTGGGGATGTTTATTTGGAACAATAATCACGAGTAAGAAGATATGGAATGTCAAGAGCATCTGGGAAAAAGCATTGGCTGTACTGTACTCCCTCAAGAGCCTAATCCCGCAATAAATTGGCAGCAAGCCGGGGAGACTCACAACTTTATAATTGAGAACTTTCAGACGTTAAAGTGTCCTCATATCGTTAACACTATTAAATAGGCATTCGAAGTGAGGCTAAGATAAGTTTATACTATGTGTACCAGTGACACGCATAAAGAACCGACCTGCAAATAAGTGCAACTAGAGTTCAGTGCGAACCGAGGAACTGTATCAACATGCATCTGTGTGACCATTCTCCGGATATTGTGAGTAATCTGACACGTGCGGGGTGCGTCTAAGTGAACTGTCCCTTTACAAACGAAGTGCAAAGCAGCAGCTATCGCGAACACAGATGCTATGACGGACAATAATCTGTACATGCTTCAAGTGTATGCATACATACTTGATATAACTTATAGCCAGAGATCCCAGGTTAAACTACAACAAGCCCTGAATGAGCATCTTCTACATCAATCCAGAGATAACCCGACAAACACGCTGTAATTGTATTTATGTAACTCCTCTGAGCTGCGCACGCAGCAAACTAACCTGGCCACGGAGCACACAGAGAACTGATCGTTGTTTGCCTGGACTTTAGTGGATGTCGATGCATACATGAGATACGGACCACCAGGTACTCCATAACACGGCCAATCCAATGAATCGTGCAATGCGCCAAATCCGTGACCTGGAAGTAGATGCATATAAGAAGCCGTCAGTTAAAAAATCTGTACATCCGTGGATATTGTTCAACAGGAATCTCATTCGTGCAAGTAGCGTCTTCATCTCGGTCAGTTCGAGTACAACATACAACTAACCACCCGTGCAAACAGTTCATGTCTATTATATCATGCAAACCAATTGGGATATCCCCAGCTTACAATGTAAACCCACCACCCAGCCATATAGAAAAGCCATACCTATCTCGTGAGCCGTAGCAATGACTTCCACGGCATCAGGAATTGTCTGGCCGAACATGATATCGCTGTGCATTCCAGTATTCAGATTGAGATACCCCTCGGAGGTGGAGACACGGCCCTGGTATTGGGTGAATGAGATAGACAAACTCACGGATGAAAGATGGCTGGGGTATTCTACGTGCGGATACGGATACATACGGTACTGACGGACAGTGGGAAAGTCCAAGTAAATGATGTCGACGTACGAACAACTTCGATCTGCCAAGTGCACAATACATCGAAATCCCAGGCTCATTTCAATTTTGGTAGTCAGTCGTTGCATACAGTAGTACCAAGTGCCCCTTAAACGTGTTTGCGGATTCCGATTTTCTATTCATGGAAGCTATGGGTGCGCAACTATCAGAAGTGCAATAGATAGCCGCACCAACCTGGTCAACAAGCCCGCCACATATCCACGGTTATCTACTGCCCCACATACATGAACGAATCCTCAGCAATAGAACTGCACTCACCGCGCATATACCCCCAGGCTTGTCTACGTCCGTACTAGCCACATACGCTAGGCCCAGCGTGCCGTAGTGTTCTCTATGTGTAAAGAGATGCGCCAGGCAGTATCCGTTCCAGGTGCCCTTGGCAAATTCCAGAAGGACGCCTTCCGGATCTAGGGTTTCGTTCGCCACTGGATATCAAGCCAAGCACAGAAGGTTTGTACAACTTGTGGTGCATATTGTGGTATTTAACATACTAATCTCACTGGGTCATGATTCATAGTAAGCCATTAAATAACGTGTGCTCCCCCATCGACTGTGGGTGCTGCGAGTAAATACATTCCATTCCCAACACGTAATATACAATCTCGAACATAACTTTCACACACAGCAGATGCCACTTACAGCCTTTGATGTTCTCGGGATAGTCAGTGGGCGAGAGGTATGTATCAATGGGATCAAAGGGAGCCAGAGCTACACGGATGTGCCACGGATTTGCTCCCGCATAGAAAGTCCCGCTGGAGAAGATCTGATCCACTTCGCCGATAACCTGATTGTCAGTTGATATACAGAGCGAGTGTTTGCAAGTTTGATATTCGCAGTAAAAAGGATGCGATCCAAAGTAATGACGACGTATCGCTCGGAAAGATTGCGTTACAGCGAGTTCCAGAAGTGGTAAGCGACGGTTAAGGAGTTTGTTGAGAATCAATTTTCCCTGGTGACAAACTTCATAACTCTTTTTGGAGAATAAGCTGATTGCATAATCTGTCATACAAACAATACGACCAAGTTCATACATACCCATTCCATGTGTTTGGCTGCTGACCCAGCAGTCATGTGGCTCTGTGTGTAGGTATGATCGCTTACCGCCTTGACCAAACACGTGTTGTCGGAGTCGGTTAAAGTGACGGTTACATTGAAAACGCGACCGTCTGTTTCCCTCGATGGTGACTCCTCTAATTCATCTCTCCGATATCGAGGCCGGTGCTCAAGTGAGTTTCTCTACAAAAAAGAAAACCGCATAAATACAACACAAAATTGTCCGCCTTTTAATATCGTGGATTGGATCGCTATCTGTGCAACAAGTGTATTCCAACTATACGATCCGATAGTGGAGAAGCTAGCCCTTGTCTCCACCTCAAACGAAAAATAGTACGACCAGATGTTGACCATATGGGACGCATGCATATGCTGGCACCATCTAGCGACACATATGCCAAATTATGACCCAACTGGATTATGCATGAAGCAACATGTCCGAATAAAATAGAGTCTCCGTCAAGTCTGCACACATAGAAACTCTTGTCCGTTATTTACGATAGAACTTTAAAACTAGACAGTTTTTCGCCTGTACTTGAGGCAAGTGATTGGCGTCTTTGCAATAGGACCTCTACGGTTTGCGAGTTGCATGTTCGTAATTCATTCGCGAATTTCAGTGTATTAAGCGCTATTAATTGATGCCCCGCTTTTGTACATTGATTGTAATTCGCTGCAACATCCGGTTACCTATGACACCAAATGTATACATCAGTCACTCATACATTATTGAGATAAGAATACTTGTGCATACATCTGTAGCCATTCGGCTGCACCTATAACATATTAAAGTTGATATATAGTACCGCACTTCACCTTTTTAGCGGCGAGCGATTTAAACATAGCAGCTCCCGCATAGGTGTTCCCATCAGTGTGCTTGTACGAGACATCCGAAGCACTACACAGGAATGGGAGGCAAAAAAACTTTGTTACAATACTGTGCTGTCATATCCGCCAAGTTATTATGCCAGTTGAAATTTATAAACAGGTTCGACTCGGGCACCGAGAAAGACACATTACCTCACGACTGCTTAAAGAAACAATCTAACTTCTGGCTATACACCAATACAGGTCCGTTAACTTAGCAGTTTGGAAAGAGACGATGATGTGGTGTACATATCTCAAGATTTGGTAATCGTAAGTGTGATGATAAGTACCTAAAATCCTATTGCAATTGAGCACCAACACATTTTGCATTATGCGTGATGGATATTCAGGTTACGTACATTTCAGCAACATTCCTATCTGACTTTAAGACACCCTACCATTAACAATACATCCAACCTAGAATGGTGCGACACACAAAGTACATAAAAACATAGCCTTCTAAATTGAACACAATCCAGCAGAGCTCATGACATTTTTCTTCTGATATACTCCTTCGAGCAGCCGTAAACACAACACTGCACAACTCACCGATACACGACGCGATCCCCTGCTCGCCTATGCGCATGCTGTGCATATCTCCGCGCCGGTTCGAAGAAGAACACTTCATCTTCTGTACTGACACTGCCCCGGAAGTGATCATCCTGCATATACCCACGCACAATACCTACTGTTTGTTCGGCCACATTGCTTGAGAGCACCCGCCCTTGGTATAGTCCATCTCCAACGAGGGCGTCTAGTATATTTAAAGATATCAACGAATTAGCTGCTTCTTTTATAATCTTTATTATATTAAAGGTTGTTCTGTGATCACTTGCATCGCAGAGGGCTTAGAAAATCGATCACTTCTAACATACACACGCTACGTACCAGATCCGCGGGTGCGATCGGAAGCGGGTGTCGCACGTACTAGTTCCATATGAAAGAGCCGGCCAAACACAGTGGTTTTGTATTCAATGACGTGGTTATCAATAGCCGAAAGTGTGCCGTCACCCGAAAATTCAGTTGCCCTACGTACAGTACTATGCACTTGTTCGGCAGTCACTAACTCGTAGTGCTTTACATTTTCAGTAAGAGAGTCTGTAAAATCAATAGCGGGAACAGCATACGTATGAGAGAACATGAAACACATATATACGATGAGTATAAGATTCTACTGGCGAAAGACAATCAAACGTAGCGATACTTGAGTTACAGATGCTCCTGGTTCTCTGAGAGATAGATTTCTCCATCAGTCATTCCGTCCTATTGTGATTCTCCTGACTGTCGCGACTACCCACATTTATAATCGTGCAAGAAATGTGCCAACGTATGGGTATACTTGACATCTAGAAAAATAAATACACAGCCAACCAGTTTAATTTTACAGAGGAGTAATGTTTATGATAGCGCGTACCTTCACGGGGTGTAAAACCACTAGCGCATATAGCTATCGCAGATGGTAACAAGGCGAGTTTTAGTGCTCGCATCCTTTATGTATTGTGTTTCTCTTCGACCCCAGAGTTGTTACTATAGTCTCGCCGGTTCCTATCCAAATTATAATCCACAAGCTATTCCGTTTCGGCGAGCTTCAATACGATCGATGATTTCAAAGTGGAAAAAAGGATGTCGACTCTACAACTATAAGAATACTTATCTCTATAACAACCCTGACGCCGAAGAGCTGTCGTACAACCTGTCATATATCCGCTGTACAATATTTACTCGAGCTAATTGTCTTCACCCTGAGAGCAAATTATGAACATGCATTGTATTTCATTATTCTACACAATTGCCTGCAAGTAGAGATGCCGTGATACTGTGCGCATTCTTAACACATGTATCTCAAGCGCATTCCATGCAAACACTAGATTAAATGTGATCTGACTGGAAAATCTCGCGTAAATTTATATCAATATCTATATAATAACATATTTCAATATATTTATGTGATTTACGTGATTTATTATGCATCATTGAAAGCCAAAAGACGCCGTGACTCCCAATTTGGTCATAAACCCAAGAAGCCTATCTGTTAAGTAGTCATCCTCGCGATTGGTACCTCCATGCTATCGTAAATCGTTTATCACTGATGAGCCTACTGTATTTGGGCGTTTTACTATACAACGCAAATAACAGACTACACAGTGATCGAATATCCCTTGGCTTCCGATAATAATAGTGCACGTGCTTGCAACCTTGAAATAGACGTAGTACATCTTGGCTGCACCCCAAAAACACCAATGTCTCTTTACGCGTTACTGTCCGCTCCATCTTCCGCATCTGTTAATGAGCGGAAATATTATACGTGATCGCCCTCGCCCGAGTTCCATGAGAATGTCTCTTCACACCCTAGCATATACAGAACAAGTCAGGCATTCTGAATGATGTTTGTTCGGGACATGGGACGAGGCAGAGGTCGTGCGATCTTTGCAAACCGCACAATACTACGGGGTGAGGTAGTCTTGGATGCAAAACCGTACGTCAGTGTACCTTCGAGCACGACCTCCACTTGCATGGAGTGCTGGCAATACGTCTCGGATAACAACTGCACACTTAAATGCAAGAAATGTCATCAGGCTGTATTCTGTTCCGATGCGTGTGCCGAAAAAGGTAGCACGCGACATGCACTTGAGTGTGCCGCTCTAAAGAAATTGTGTTGTAGCTCTGTAGTGAAGGATAAGGGCTCGCGGCAAATGATGCACTTAGCACTCCGGGCTATGCTGGGTGTTACTGCGCTGAAATTCTCTGCTGTTCATATAGATAGTCGAAGACGATTATCTGACGAGAACATGATTGCTTCGACAGGGCCAACTCCATTGATGGGGCCATCTACGTGTTCCCAAATAGAGAATAATGTGATGATAGATATCGGGACAGCTGGTGCTGTCAATGATAGGGAAAGCGTCGATAGAAAAAATGGGAAATGTTTGATAGAGGGTATTGTGAGTGGGCAAAAGGGAATGGAATCAGTGGAAGCGCTCGAGGACAACCGCATGGCATTCTCTACGCAGCAGATCAATCAGCTCACAACAGCGGCGAAAGTACTACTGAAGTGTGCACCTTCGCTCTCGGGTGAATGGAGTATTCGTCGTGTTGTTAGCCTCCTGTGCAAACAAGAATGCAATGTGCACGGTGTCTGGGGTGGCCCAGATATTGGCTGGCGAGGTGTGTGTACATGCATTGGTATGGCCCTTATTCCCGAGGCCAGCTATTTTAATCATTCATGCACTCCCACACTCGTCGCTATTCGATCTGCAGCGCGCATGAAAATGAGGTCAGATTCATTACATAACCCCGTTGAAGTATCGGATATAGATTTTTGCAAAATCAACTGCCAAGGAACGAGTTCTTCTGCCGATCTGTCATATGTAGCATTGCATACAATTCAAGCAGGTGAAGAATTGACTATATCTTATGTTTCCTGCAAACAAACTACGGAGGAAAGGCAAAAGGCCTTGGAGTCATATATGTTCAAATGTACATGCGCTGCTTGCGCAGGAAAAGCGCGCACTCACGTGATGCGAAACTTCTTAAACCGCTATGCGTGCTCGAAATCGACATGTCCGGGATTGCTCGTGCCTTTTTGCGGCAAAGATGATAGCATATGCGCGATTTGTGGGTTACGGTAGGTCCAGTTCACGGCTTCGATCATTAAAACTATAAGGTCAATTTTAAGAACACGAACAAATTTGAAATCGAACTACGCATAAATACGTTTTGTGCTGTGTGCGTATCTTGGGCGCTTATAATTCATTTCTTCTTTTATTTTTAAGCATTCAGCAACAGTATCTAACCTAATGCATCCCTTGCATGCGTATGTACGCTTGCTGCTCATCTCATCTGAATGTAATATCAGCCGTGATCACTCGTAACGTATACGGAGCTGCTTCCTGTCGTGTCTATTTATTCTTGACGTTCATAACTAGACGCGAAAAATATGAACGTACATGTATTTGTACTTTTAGAACTTTAGTATTTACGATGAGTCGTTTCGTGATCGTTCAACGACTTCACTCCAGTATTATCTCTCTATCGTTCTATACCTCCTCTCCAGAATTGTCGTTTCATTAACGTTCTTCGTTTCATTAACGTTCTTCGTTTCATTATCGTCCTATATTTGCTCTCCAAAGTTGTCGTTCCGTTATCTTTAGATGTCGCCGCTCCGAAGATGACTATGAAGATAATCTATCCATTTCAAGTTGTTAGTAGTTTACGCTAGGCTACTTCCTAAAAGTACGAATCGGATCTTCAAATCCATTCTGGTTAGCAGTCGATGACTCGTGACCCGTGAGTCGACCATTTCTGCCCAGTACGAATGGGTTTTAATAAAACGCAGCACGGTGACGGTTCACCGGGTTCTGGTTGAGTATTTAGTAGAAACTTACGACGTCTGCGGCTCTATGCGGTGCCGGGGTGCGCTACATAGCCGCTATCTTGGTTTTTCTTGAAATGATTCTTTTTTCAAGTCTGATGACGGAAGTCGGAAAGCCGAAAGCGAGTTTTTTTTTCAAGTTTTCAACCGTCGAGTACAAAACTATTTTGTTTTTTTATACATATTTTAACACCCCCCATTATATCCGGTTTTAGATATAATCCTAATTTTATTTTCTAGACTTTTTCTAAAAACATTTCAAAAGAATTTTACGAAGGAGCCAAGTTGATAGCTCTACCGGTTCATACAGCTATGTATCGATTTATGAACAGGATTGTGCACTTTTCGACTAAGTCAAATCTTGGATTTCCAGGTCGCGTATTAGCAGTTTGAACCTTCTAAGGGTTCTAATATATAATAAATACAAGTATTATTAGTTCAGAAATCATCTTTGTGGTATAGAATGCTTATTATGCTTGCTCAAAATCACCATTTACGTACACGCGTGTCCATCAGACATCCATTTGGTGTGCATATTCAATTATATGTCTTCAATATGATTTTCAGACCTTCGTTACATCTATATAAGCATAATTAACCATAATAATGTTATTGTAATCGTTTGTAGGTGAATAAGTAGTGAATTTTGGCAAAAAGTTCTGGAAATGAGATTCATCGTGCAATCGATGGCATGGCACATCAAATGACGCACACTTTTTCTCGATTTTAGCAGCTGTAGCTTGCATTACGGTTAAAAGAATGCATATACGATATTGTTTTGACGATAATTGTACGTGACAACTTTGAAACTTTACTAATTATGCATATTTAGACCCAATAATCTGCGTTTTGGAGGTTTCCGATGTAGTGTTAGATTCCTAAGCATAGAAGGTGTTCTACTTGTACTACGACCTTACGACCTTGGCGCCTTCACAGACCATTTACGAAATACTTAATCTTGAAATATGCCAAAAAAATATTGGGAATAAATTGAAGTCCAGATTTAGTAAATCAGGAACGCTTCTTTATTTTTGGCCCTATTTTATCCCCTTAGTATATGGATGGGGTGTTGAAAATAAAACAAAACAAACCTGTATATGCTTTGCTTTAATTTATTTTTGTTTTACAATCTTTACAAATATCTTTTACCGCAGTTAACCAATAAAACGTGACAATATAATTATTTTTCTTGAAAATACTCGGCTTACTCTTGAATGTGATGAAACATGTTATTCACACAAGAAAAAAACAACAAACTTTTGGCACTTCAAACTTGCCATTGTTGCCAGGAGCCCAGGACTTCTCATTCGTTCTCATTCTGACTTGTTCAGTCGTATTTTTTTATACCAAATTAGTAAATATAAAAACATCGTAAAGTCGTAAAGACGTAAACACTAATAAATACTCGAAGCCCCTGTAGAAAGTGTAACTAGTATATTGTATACCCCAGAGTAAGAAAGTAAATAAGAAACTGCCGGACTGGCGGAGTATGTATGTAAATACTACTAAATATAAAATACTACTATGTACTAGTATTTTATAGTAGAGGAGTTAGTACAATAGAAATAGTCACAACAGACAAGTTACAACAGTTGGATTCGACATTCGTAGATCGCTGATGACTGATATATGTGCGATTGAGTTTATAAATACTCTGTTTGTCGTTTAAGCGAATAAAATCAAAGAAAATGAACAGTTGCTGTGATATATTCAGATATTGTGATTTGTGTTACTATTTTTTAAAAATTAGATCCAAATTTTAAATATTGTCTTGGTTTTGCCTAGATCTTGTCACTGCAAAGCTAAATGGAATGAGTGCATTTAAAGGCCACTTATGAACGCACTGCCTTCACACATACACCTTTCATCAGTAAACAATTGCATTTGAAGTTGAATAGTGGCATATACCTTCATCACGAGGATAGACAGACAATTAAGTGGATATATTTCTTCATATACCTAAGCTCATCAAACAGCGACAATGCGAAGTAGCTACGGCTGTTGGCTAGTTTTATTTGGTGGCGTGATATCTGTAGAGCACAGATTTCCAAACGGCAGAGGTACAATATTTTCTGATGCTTGACCTTCTTCGGTTCGTTATAGAGCATGTTACTGTGGAATATTTTTTATGCTAACTGCAGAGCGGTAACGTTGGTGTAAAAGCTGAAGTTTTGTCACAGTACGTCTTTTGACTTTTAATAGTGCCAGAGAGAATACATGTATACACGCCTCCCTACATTAATACTTTCTACATCATCTCATCTTTTTTCATATCAGATGCATTGGATGCTAATATCGTACACCACGAGCATGTCTCAACATCCGACATTCACTCGTGGAAACGGCGGTCAAATTTTGCAAGAGGAGAATATTCATCTTTGCAAACATTCGAAAGCGCACATGAAGTTGAATATCGGCTGCAAGCCTTTGACCAAGTTTTACACCTGGTGTTAAGTCCACATGTCGAACACTCCGATCACGTACGTCGATCAGGTAAGTTTGTATGTTAGTTGTTACCTATGCACTTCGACGATTTTGTAGTTGTTCGGCATGTATTTTATATGGTATCAAATGCGTACCGTAGCATGATTTGGTGCAACTCCTGTTTTTAGATTGGTAAAATATGATCTTAGATGAACTTATGTGTGTAGAAAACAAATTGTAAGTCTGCGTAAGTCTGCATATATCTGTATTTACAATCGGTCAGATGAAACAATTAAGGAATAGATGTTGTTTATACTTGCAGCAACTGCGGATACCGATTCGTTTATGTACACGGGCACGCTGAGAATGGGCGACAAAATTGGAACTGCCAACGGCTATATATATGATGGTCACTACCATGGGGTGGTACGAACGGAAGAAGAAACCTATTTCATCGAACCTGCCCAAAAATTCTCAAAATACGCTGAAAGGCGATCAGCAGATCGTGTGATATACAGGTAATAAGGTTACTTTCTTTTGCTCCGATGCTGGTGTTCACAGAAACTCGCTTCATGAGTGTGCTAGCCTGTCAAGAATACACTGAATCAGGTGACACATATTTTAGTATTTTTTTTGTTATTCATTGTTATTTTTACAAATGGCAGAGCCTCTGATGTCCACTACACGCATCCAAAAGGTCAGAAATTCAATGGCGTCGATCTCTTCCCACCGATCTCAGTTGTCATGGTAAGAAAATAACTTTCTGCTTGTATATAGTCTGACTGTGCTGGTAATGTGCATTGCTACCGTTAATACAGATGATTCAAGTTCTTTGAGGAAGAACCTATACTTGAGGTATACTGAAATATCCCGTTTTTTTACAGCATCGTAACCGGCGCGAAGAAAGTAGAAGAAGAGAGGTGAGCAAAGGCACGTGCCAACTGAAGCTGGTAGCGGACCACACATTCGCCAATCTATTCCCGACTGACACTGTAGCAGCCAAACACATGTCCCTGGTAAGTCAGATGTATTACTCCTTCGTAATTAGGCGGGCTCTCAGAACGCAAATTAGCGGTTTTGGGTGTCTCAGAGTTATATTGCATTTGCGCTTGTTGGGCAGAAGGCTCACGCTTATTGTACCTTTACCGAACTTTGTGCTCGTGGACGGATGTAGATCACAACGATCTTCATTAAGAAATATTAAACCTAACATCTCTCGCAATTCTTCACAATAGATTGCCTCTGAAGTAGACAACATCTTCAGCAAAACGACATTCTCGCTCGATGTGCGGGTAGCTTTGTCAAAGAATAGTCCCATCGATGTCTATCCGTCAAAAGATTCGTATCCGGAGACACTCGCCGGACGTAAGTGAAAAATCTGTGCCGTACATCACATACGACCTTGCGTCCAGAGTTTGTATACCTAAAGGTGAAGGTAAAAATCTTTTAATTCGCTTCGCTATTCAAAAACAATAACAATATTTATACACCCTATGTAAACACAGTCGGGAACGAACAACTATCACCCACAACTCTGCTTGCCGAGTTTGCCAAAGGGGATTGGGACGACTACTGTCTAGCACACCTCTTCACACACCGTGAACATCACGGCATATTGGGCGAGTCCTACGAGGCAACTCCGATTGAGGGAATATACGGTGGTATTTGTGCGGTATGTTTCCTTTGTGCGACCTGTATTCCTTCTCTTCACTCGTTTATATTTTATCCGTGGACATTCTGCATTTGTCGTTTGGAGGTCACTTTCCATCATCGTACTACATAGGATGATGATGGATAGGATGGTGATCTGATTACGGGTAGCCAATTCTCAGAGCACAATTAATTCCGGTTGGCACTTACTTCATCGGATTTCGCTTATCATCACAGAATAGCTCACAATCAAGCGAGGGCCTGAATCTCAACACTGGAATGCACACTAATCTGATGTACGGTCAACCGGTTTCTCTTGCGATTGAGATCATCGCCGCCACACATTCAATCGGTAAGACCTATGTGAAACAAACAGTTATTAGGGGATTGTGATCGTAGAGTTCGATGAAGTGCATGAGATGTATAAGTGTGCTCCTGACGTATATAAATTCCTAAACCTTACCTTTATTCAGGACATGGTTTTGGCGCCTCACACGATCCCTTCCACACTGGACCGTGTCTCGGAGGCAGCAATAACAACCGATATATCATGACGAACACCACCTTCAATGAAGTGTCGTCAAATAACGACGATTTCTCAACATGCTCTGTCGACAAGTATGTAACCCTCATGTTATTTGACGCCTCGCTTCTGAAAGCACCTCGTTGCACTCGTTCATGGGCTGCTGCCACGGCCTACGTTAGCAATGCTAACCCATCTCCAATCACCTCAAACGCACAGTATCAATCAATTACTGGAATCTGACAAGATGGCCGACTCCTGCCTTACCGAGGAACCGAGTAAAGTGTGCGGCAACGGCATTGTGGAGGGTGATGAAGAGTGTGACACCTTTGGAGCCACGAAGTGCTGTACAAATAAATGCGAATTGGCGGACAATGCTGTGTGCACGGCTAATGATGGTTGTTGTGATCCAGACACGTGCGACTACGCCAAGAAAGACACGGTATGACTTAGATGGTCTCCAACGACTCAGCCGCGCGACATTGCTACAATAAGAATATTCGTGCCTTTGTGAAGGACCACTAAGGAAAAACACGTAGTCTGGCTGATTCATTAATTTAGCCGACTATAATCAGCTTGTTTGAATTCTGTTTTCTGAACATATGAACTTCACAATCCCGTGAACAGCAATGCGCCGAGGCAACAGGCTGTATGGCCAAGGCTGTCTGCAATGGAAATAACGCGAAATGCCCAGAGCAAAAACCTGTTAAAAATTTTACGCCGTGCGGGGCGGGCAATGTGCTGTATGATGCATGGATCTGTATGGACGGAAAATGCGGTACGTGGCTATCGCTCGTATAGTACCTTATTAGATTGTGAAACTGAGCTGTAGATTATTAGATTGTGAATCTGAGCTGTAGATTATTAGATTGTGAATCTGAGCTGTAGATTATTAGATTGTGAATCTGAGCTGTAGATTATTAGATTGTGAATCTGAGCTGTAGATTGTACCGTTTCTTGCGGCGAGATTCACTGTCGTATGTGCACAGTGGAGACCAACCTGCATTGACGCTTGGTTTATTTCTGCCATTCAGGTAATGAGCTGGGAGGCAACAAAAAAGAGAATAACCTCTGTGCGGCGTTTGATGGGGCCGAATCTTGTGACTGTCCACAGAAAGAGAATGAGTGCCAGGTAAGACTAGAGCTCTCGCATGTCGATTATTGAACACTCTGTCGTGATATATTGCATCTCGCCTTGCATAGCTAGAGCACCCATATAACGATAGAAAAGGATACTCACTACGTATGTAGGTACTTGTACTCTAGAATATTGAGTACGCTTGTACTCGGTATGTACTCAGGGAATGGACCCAATAACCTTACATACGGAGTTGGACAGACACGGATTTAATCCCGCCTCTTTACTACACCTCATCTATCTCAGATGTGCTGCAAATTTCCAAGTGACGAGGGTGTTTGTCAGACAGTCGAGGACCATTGTGCGCTCGACGGTACCACAGACAAAGCTTGCTTCGATGGTGATAAGTCGGTATCGGCCTATTTCGAAGGTGGCTATCCTTGTGCTGATTATAAGGGCCATTGCGACGGCAGGGGTACATGCGAAATGGTATGGCAGCGTAGGCAGTTAACCGTAGTACATGAGAAGTCACTTTTTAAATCCAGCCAGAACTTGTTGCTGCGTTGTGAGATCGAATTTAATTTGGAGCCTGTACGAAACTGCATATATTTTGCAGATCCTAAACCGGTACTATTACACCGTTTCTATTATAGCATATCGTTCTATGATATCCAACCGCATAGATAACCTATTGGATATTCACCGTTGACAGCGAGTAACCAATCGACAGGGAAGCTATAATCGGCATTAACTGACGATCAAATTTGCATGTACTGATACAAACTACTATTACACAGGCGATCCTACCGCAGACACCCATACGCCACCAAGTCCTGTTAGATTCGCCGCTGTGGAGGCCGGTGTCTAAACCGGTGCAGTCGAACTTCGTCAGTCTTTCCATGGAGTATTCGAGCTCAAGTATACACTTTGCGTTCGAGAATAATCGAACTTCGCCGAGAATAGAAGAGCTTTTGGAATTGCTCAAGGTGGAAAAGGGTGAACGACCCACATATATACGTGTTGGAGGGAATTCGGTAATGAAACTGGAATATGCGGGGTAGGTACATTTTATAATTCCGTGTGCATCATGATAATCTCGTGCTCGTCAATATATAGCAAGTCAACAGTAGCGGTCTACTTATGTACGTTGCTCGTAGAGTGATGGTTGTTGCTCAGATAGGGACAATACCAAACATATCTGTGCGTGTGCGAGTCAAGTGCGAGTCAAATATACGAGTGTGATTGTTGATAGAAAGCAACGCAAGTCTGAAGTTTGTTAGACAATGTGTTTATCTGTACGTCTGCACTAGTATCTGCCGGTAATAGCTCTGTAGGCTGTTGCGTTGATTATTGTAACGATGTTCGAAGAACTCGCTGCTACTATTCATTAACCCTAAAACCCTAAAATCGGTACCTTCTTCCCATTTCAATATCTCTGCAATACAGCTCTAAATACAAATACCCAGACTACGTATACGTTGAAAAGGCTATCGAAAATGATACACTAATAGCGTTAAAAGACCACGGCATGAGATCAGGTGACAAGTATATCTTGGCACTACCAATGATGGAGCCGGATCCTAAATATGCAGTCGAATTTGGGGAAGCGATCGTAGACATATTCGGCGGCACGGATATGATCCACGCCCTTGAGATGGGCAATGAACCTGGTATGTCTACTATACTCACCATGTGTGCATATTTTTGTGTGTTGAAAACACTGGTAGAAACTGGAAAAAAAATTATGATAAGAAACTTATAGCTTTGAGATTTACAAATAATATAACGCACGAAATTCTAACGCAGACCACTGGGGTGATAACAAAGAAGACAAGGTCAACCTACTCAGGAAACGACCTCACTACGAATTCAAAGGACACGGACGAATCGCCTTTAAAGATTATCTGGAGGAAGTAACCGGCGTCATGTTACCTGGTATGTGCTATGGCAGCCACATATTTATTCCTGTGGGGATTGTTATTAAGCTTGTCAAGCAACGAGTTACAAGCTACCAGTGCCGATACATTTACACGATACAAATTATTGTAATAGCTATATCATCGCCTGAGAATTAATATACAACTGTTACTTTTACAGCACTCAGTAAAAGCAATGTTCTCAAGAAGGTGGGACTGCAGAGCCCAGCTATCGCCGGTTCCAATACGAACACGTGGCCTCATTGGAACGACAATCTCTTAAACATGCACAATGGAATGAAGGAAGCCATGGACAAAGCACAGATGACCACCTCCGATTCGAAGCCGATTACAGCATTTCATCGGTACGGCATGTCTGGCTATTCTGTGCGGTCGTCTATGGAAACCTTTATGGCTGATCCACCGACTGACGGTGCTGATGAGTCGCGGAATACAATGGAATGGATTGGCAAGGTGGGTGATATTTGTTGGTTTTTTTCTACGTAGAGATTGCAAGTTCCTTAGAAGCGCGCAGAAACCAAACAAATTTATACACTAAATCACGATAGGTCGATAGGTTTGCTAACTTTAAATCACGATAGGTCGAACTGAACTCCAAACACGACGACGGGTCGATAGATCGATAAGTTTGCCATTGTACCACTCAAACGGACACTCGGAGCTCGTCGTTGTACAATAGTAGTTAACAGACTCGTGAATTAATATTAAGTAATTCACATCATACTCAATCACGAATTGCCGTTCAAAATCCTAGTCCTCTTTTTTTGATACATCCACACATAGATGGCTAACCAAATCGAAGAAAAAGGCGGCGAGTTTGTGCACGGCGAAGGGAACACTGTTACAGGCAGCGGCCGCTCCGTCCTAAAAGGTCTGCGAGGCATAGACCGAAGTTACGAAGCAGGTGTTTGGATGTTCAACAATCTGTTGGAACTTGCGAGCCGGAATGTCACCCGTAGTCACGTACACGGTGTGTGCGGCTCCTCCTTTGCACCTTTGTACGTACCGTACCTTTATCAGGACAAAGATGAACCCGACTTTGAAAGACTCCGGGTAACCCCCATTTATGGTGGGATGTACTTCTTCAACCGCCTGCTGGACGGTGGCAAGGACGCGATGCGCATTTCAGTACCAAGTGCGTATATTGGCCCATCCGTGGGCAATCCCCCAAATGCCTCAGACCCCGTGGGCGTGAGCCCGTTCTACAAGCACTACCACATACAGAACGTGGCTACGGAAAAACAGTCGCTGGTCTATATCCACAAGGATCCTACTGAAAACGCCGCGTGGATGAAAATTGAGATTCCGAAGAGCTTCTGTCCCTCTCAGAAGACACTAGCGGTACAGCGCATGACAAAGCAGAAGAGAAGCGAGGCTACCAGCAACGCGTTCGACCAATTCACGACAAATCTAAATGGAATTTGGTTCGACCATGAAGCGGCACAATACGGATCGCTGAATAAGGAAACCGTCACTCTGAATGATAATACGAAGCTTTGGCACATCAATATGGAACCTCTCACTGCCGTGGTGGTGATCTGTGACTCACTTATGGTAACTTCAGAAAGACAGGATACTATTTTATCAGACGATAGTATAAAAACTCGGCTGGTGGTCGCAGAAAGTGATTCGGAGAAGGTCAAAGAGTTGAAGAAGAGGCTGCAGGTCTACTTCGATTCTGAGCTGGACGACGCGACTGAAGGTGAGAGTGACCCGTTGGAGATACAAGACGGAGACTCGTCTGAAATGCAGGACTTGAAGGAGACATTGCGTGAGTGGTTGCAGGCGGATATGGATGAAAACCAGAACGTAGACTCTGTCGATGCTTAAATGTCTACGTCTATTCGGCTCGATACTCTTTGAGGCGCGGGTGTGGAGAGCTTCTACACGATGTGATCACCTTTGATAGTCCATGTATACGTAAATGTAGCCTTGGAGATATTGGAAGGCAATGGCGAAGCAAGATGACTACAAAGGCTCGATGACGTATGATAAGAGACAGATAGGGCTGAGCAGTAGAGTGAAGAGCCGAACTCCTACCCGCATACAACATATATACTCTATACCGTGTATACTATACAATCAGCTGGATTGACACGTGCAGGGCACGTGCAGCGAGTGCAAACGCGACGAGATAAAAAGTTGCACTGGCTGCGATATAATAGCAATAATAAGAAACAGGGGTGATAGCCGTTGCGATACGCGTGACTAATAAACAATCAACACGCTCATAAAGAATCTAACAGATGTCTCGACACGTCTTTTATCTTTCAGATGCACATGAAATGCGCACGAGATTTCCATTTTTCGGAACTAGTACTTGTTGCCTTATAGGCGATAATAATTTACAAGTAGGAGCACAAGTGGCGCGACAGACTGAACCGTACTGCGGGGTTACGATCATGTGTTATAAATCCGGCTAGGGTAAAATGCTAACCTTACAGGTAAATAATATAAATCTCCTGAAATTATTTCCATTCTGCGCATGTTATAGTATGTGGCCCATACGATTGGACTCAATTGGTGGTGCGACACTGAATGTGCCTTAACCCGGAATTTGTATGTTTGCATGTATTTGGTCGACCATTTACAAATGTGCTCGTGAAATGCTTTACTTTCAAGATATTTACACGCCGTGAGGAAAGCTCGCGGAAATGGTTGCTATCCTTGGTGAATACAATTTCCTGGCTGCCTGAAATAAGGGATCGACTCGTTTTGACACCATCCGCACATACACTGACAAGCTGGTTCCTTGCCGTGTACTATGTACGAGTTAATTTGTATAAGCTTACGTTGATATATAGACATGTATATATATATATATATATATATATACATATATATAATATATATATAATGCGTGCGTGTATAAGAACTATTATTGATTTTTTTCTGCCTCCGTTCCAATTAAGCAATCGTTCTCTGTGTCAATCTTCCTCTGGTTCCTAAGACAACCCTGCTACCACTACGTTCGAAAACGCTACTATTGCGCGGTACATGCTTAATGACAGAGCAATCCGCAAATTACGAGATCCAGAGTGCTTTGTAACTGCACTATTTTAAATGCTAATATGGTTATTCATGGCTGTACGCACAGGGGGCTTGCAACCCTGCAGTTCCGTCTAGTATACTGCTGCTATGGTCCTTCGCGATCTGTTCGTGTCTACGTTCCAGTTTCGTTTGCAAGTGTAGTAGTTTTAGCAGATGTTGACAGAAATTTGCTGACAATACCTACTCACTCTGCCTGCGCAATGCCTTTAGATAATGGCTTGACTGCGCAATGTCACGAACGTTCCTACGACGAGACACCGCTCCGTGTTGTGTACGAGCTTCCTTGCACATTCGTGGCCTTGTGGTATCCAGTCAATCGGCCTCTGGAGTTGGAGACCTTTTAATCTGACTTTTAGATATTTCTATCCATTGAAGTCTCTGATTTCTTTGTCTGTCCATTGAAGCCTCCGTTTAGCCCAAACTGTCGACATATTCGCCATGTCTTCCAGGCACAACAGCCCAACAGACAGTCTTTGGCTCCTACCATTCCTACATTGTCATCATGCACCGTTCGCCTGTGTGCCAATGTACATGGCTGGATCGGCTCTCCATGCGAAAACATATTTGCCCGAGGTATGTCGGTGAAGAATGCATACGCCAGCTCCATAGCCCCATAGATTATAATGACTACGCGCGTATAAAAGTGCACTCTATACGATGTAGGTATGTGCTTGATAGGCAAAGGGGAGACGCGCATCACACATGTACCTTCCGAGCGTCGTATATCGTACACTCCCCACACTGCAAGAATACCACCTTGTGAACGCGATAATGATCGATGCTGGCGCAAGGCTGTGCAGTGTGTACCCCAGCATGAACTTCTCAAACGGCAATTAAGTAGCATCACGTTTGTACGCAGAAGCAGAAGAAAGCACCCGGTAATCAATCACGAGGTGCCGGAAGGATTGTCATCGACACCCCACAGGCGTACAGTCTTGTCATCGCTGCAAGACGCAAAGAGCCGCGGATTCGTCGGTGACCACGTGACACTGAGAATACCACAGCCAGTGGTAGACAGTGCGACAGGAAAAAATAGATCGTGGGTGTGAGTAGGAAGTGTTGAAAATTAAAAACCAGGTCGCGTAAAGAAAATGCGGGATATTGAAAACCAAAGTGTCGGTAAGTAAATGTAAATCTGTCAGCACCTCGAGGATAGGTTTATACCCTAACGGCATCAATACCAGGATACATCTTGTATACACCAAGAGCTCGGCTCGTGAGCACGCAGGTGTTTTACATATAACACATTTCCACCATAAATTAATTAAGAATTGATAGAGAGTGGTTGCATCGATACTAGCTTATGGAACAAATTCTCTCATAACTCAGCGATTGGCTGTTAACGGTTATATAGGATATTGGATACGCTATCCTTCGTCAATTTTCATCCTCAATATGCGTCTATGTATACCCATAGTCATAGTATGGTCAGAACACGGCTGAGCCATTAGCCTCGGATCTGCCAAGATACATGGCCTACGCAACCCCGAATGACTCACCTGTTGACTGTACCCAAATGTCCTTCCAGCACATCCAGCAACTCGGCGGAATTCCGATGCCACATGTATATGTTATAATCTTCACTTCCGCTGATGACAAACGCGTCGTTGTGGCCGCCAAAACACGAGCGAATAACAAATTTCCCCTGCTTCTGGCCATAGTACTTGGTAATCAGGCGCCGTTCGTCTAGGTTCCAGAGGTGAATCTCCTGCAACAAGACGCAAACGTGTGATATGTCTTAGTGTTGCGGATGTATTAATCGACCTTCAACCTCTTACCAGTATACGCTGGTGCCGGAATCGACAGACAGGAAAGCTATCTTCTTGATCATGCGTAATTTCATTCTTTAAGAGTGCTATGCAGACCTCCATCATTCCTTATTGACGGTCAACCAGGATCGAGAGAGCATCCTATGACTAGACAAATGTGTGAGTTGGTGTGACCCATTGCCAAACTAAGAACAAACTTAACTGCATCGGTTGACTTATGTAGAATATCACTTACAAGACCAGGCCAGACTGAAATTATACCCAATACCCACGCTGAGATACTCCCGCACATATTCACACGCGCTGAGATATTTACAGCCACGAAACAAAAACACGCAACACACGCAACACACACGCACAAACTCCTAGTTTATTCTCTCCAGTGCTGGGAAAAAATCATTGCGATAGGCCCCAACCGGTGTAGATACACACACCTGAGATGATAGATTAACCAGAAGGAATTTGCTATCTGCCGAAACACTCAGGGAGGTGATAGAATCGTTCTCCTGGATTTGTTCCTCCGCAAAAGTCTTCATGTCGTAGATACGGATCTTCTTCTCATGGCAAATGCCCACTAAGTACTTGCCATCACGGGTCACCGACAGATCATTGATTCTTACGCCCTCCCAGCTGTGCAGCTTATTACCTGACATATCCCATACACACATCAGCTGTGTTTACATAGCCACCGGAAGTTTTATGTGAGCAAAAATGTATAGAGCTACTAATATACATATGATCAAATGAATATCAGAATGATTAACAGAGAGGCGTATGCTACCCTCTGCTGTGCGAGCGACCGGGAATTTCAAAATGAGTCGCACCACAACTGGAAGCGCCTAAAAATATTGCAGTTAAGCTACGCCTTACCATACACTGGCACAGCCGATCGCATAAGCCCATAGCACACGCAGCGGTACACAACATAATCGAATCACAGCACACAGATACCCACATGTCAGCAAGGGGAATCGCTATTGGAGAAAATACGATCCATGAGATACAGAACTTCACGTCCTCAGACTACGCTTGCATCCGAATATTTTTCCATAACCGAATGCCCAGCTGAAAAAAAATTGATGATAACTTGCCGGATAAAGCACTGCAAATCACCACTAGCCCATACCTTTCAAGGCACAATACAAATAAAAAAGTGCGACACCTCACCTGATCGAGTCCAGCGCTTATGAAGAAGTCTTTCTTTGGACTCCATGCACAGCTGGTAACGCTCTGTGTGTGTTCCTGTATATCTAATAGCAACGTTCCCCCTTCCTTTTCTTTCTCCAGATCCCACATCCTGACAGACTTGTCGTTGCTGAAACAGAAAATTGGCATGCTTTAATTCAAGAATCAGATGATATGCGAACGCAGCAAGATTAGTTTTGCCCTCAGTGATGTAAAAATATAAAGATGCTGCAACATTGCATATATTCATTAACTGGAGCAGTATTTACGGGAATAACAACTCTGTTGATGGCATTGATAGCTAGTTTATATTGGCGTGATTACCAAAAAGCGTAGGAAGTGTTGGACATGATATCAATTCATCTCACACGGACATTAATTTAGTTTTATCACTAAGTTATGATTAAATTATGTCTTTAAAGGGCCCATATCAACACACCGTGCCTGGTAGCAATAATAAGGTGGTCGACTCAACCCAGGGTGTGCTTGTGGATATAGACTATATCTTGGCCACTCCAATCGCAGTGATAAGTGATAGCAGGAGGTTGTGAGACTACCACTCAGCATAAATTGCCCGTTGGTAACACTTCTTGCTGGTTCACTCACTGAGTATGCACTGGTGTAGCATGTCTCGTATATACCAACAACCATATCCCCTAGTCTAGTATACTGCAGTATTTCGTCGGGCTATTTCTATACACTGCGTACAAGGTCTCTGGGACAGAAAAGTGTGAGTATTCGCTCAACAATTCCTACCCCATTTTTCAAGGACATACGCTTTGAACAGGGCAAACAGCCACACTATCTACGATACCATAACCCTAGAACCCCTAACACCAATTACGACACCATACCTGCACGTCAGCAAGAGCTTATCATCCCAGCTCCAGCTCACAAATGAGATGGGCATACTATGTCCTCGGAGCGTGTGCTTGAGCGCGTACGTCGCAACCTCCCATATGCACACGGTCTGATCCTTCGATGCGGCGGCCAAGTACTCCCCACTGTTCGAGAACTTCACAAACCACACCTCGTCTGTGTGGTTCGTGAATATATGCTTTGTAACCCGTGGCAGGCTCTTGGGCGAGCACCTGTGGTCCACCAGCAGGGACGGCGGC